ACACACACACACACACACACACACACACACACACACACTTATTTAAATAATCACACACTGTCTTTATTACTATGTGAACAAGATTTTTCCTTTGGTGGGTGATTAATATAGCCTTTTTAAAGAATATGCAAAAATATTATAACAAGATATTGTTAATTAAATGGCTTTAATAATCTTAAAATATTATTAAACACAAAGAATAAATGTGAAAAACTCCCTGTGTGGTATTTTATATATAGCTATTATTTTACACACTTTTTTTTAGTCCCTGTGTAGCATTTTAGATTTTTTAAATTTATTTTACATACTTTTTTTAGTCCCTGTGTAGCATTTTAGATTTTTTTTTTTTTTTACTATTGAATATTAAAAGTGTTCAATTTTGATGTTGCCACTTTAATAAGATCCTCATTGTTTTTGTGTGTGATAAATATTATTTAAAAAAAATATTTAATATATATATATATAAATATATAGTTTTTTTAATGCATAATTCGTAAAATTATTTCCCATTTAATGGTTTTAAAAAACTTTTAAGGTCTCCACTTTTTCCCAAGACTTTCCTTCACAAGACTTTCCCTTTTTAAAATAATTGTATAGAGATCACACACAAAAGAAATACCTATCTGAAGGAAGCTAGACAAAAGCACATGTTTGATAGCAGGGAGAGTGAAGAATGGTTTCTGATTGGAACACCTGTTTGCTCATGGTAGGCTTGAGCAGATGCTGTTGCTGGATCTGCTGTCGTTCCTGATGTGATTTGGATTGCTGTGTGGACTGCGGCGTTCCGCCCTGAGAGCCCTGCGATCCCTGGCTCTCTCTCGTGGAGCTCTGCTGATGCGGCAGGCCAGGCGGGGTGCTGTCTTTGACGGACAGCTGCTGCCGAGGGCCCTGCTGCCGGCCCCCGAAGCCGGACTCCGGGGACTGGAGCAGGCTTCCGCTCTGCGGCCTGGTCTTGCCTGCAGGAGCGGCAGCGGCGGCAGAACTCACGGAAAGCTGATGCGAGGGTTGCGATTTCATGCGCGGTGTGGGAGGAGCCATGGAGCTTTGACGGACAGGCTGAACGGTGGAAGGAGGCGTGGCGAGTGATGAATGAGATGTGCCGGTCTGTGATGCCATGCCTGCCATCTGCTGCTGCTCCTGGTCATGAGACACATGCTTAAATAACAACCACCGCTTATTTCGAAATCACTTTCCCCTGATATTCAGTACAGAATGTACTAAATCCATTAAGTACAATAAGAATAAAACACAATAGAATGCTGCAGGAGTGAATGAACCAAAGTTCCCACAGGATCTGTCCATGCTTTTTTATTAGATAAACTCTATGACCAACAAAAGTTTACGAATCACTACTGTCACCTGAGTTTTGGTTGGCTTAAAAGATAATTAACATTCAGAAATATGATCAATTTCACATCAAATTAGAATAAAACTTGAACTGAATTGAGCTGGATAATAATATCTTCTGTAAATCTGCCTTGAAATTGTTTCTTAATTGATGAACTTTGCACGAAATGAATTGAATCAACATTGAACGAAATTAAGCTGAAAGATTACACTGTTATCTTCTGCCATGCTGCAGAATATATCTTATATCTGAATCAGATTTGTTTTGTAATTGGAACTGGTTGTTAGTGAATTTAATCAACATGAAGTGACTTGCTTTACTATTGCTTTCTGAGGAGCTGTTTTATAGCTGAATTAAATTCATATTTTATATAATGTTATATAAATAAATAAAAATGACTAGACACTGCGTTTTTCAAGATATTATAAAGCTTAAAAAATCATGAGCCAGCTATTATGGTTGTATTTTATATCATAGAATAAAACCACAGGCCCTTCAAATATATAATTATGATTATAATATATACAGTATATATATATATATATATATAATCAGGGTTTTTAGTCACTGTCCAAAATATCACACTTGATGTGGACTTTTGTGAAGTCCACCAGACCACAGTGTCCCATTTCTCATTTTATGATGAAGATCATGGTACTCTTTAGCTTCTTTGTAGCATTTGATCACGGTACCATGATGTTGTTACTCAGTATTTTTGTCCTGTTTTCCAGTACAAATATCTATACATTCTTCAATAAAGATATATTTACTTAAGAAGCAAAATAAAGATACTAGGTCTTTTTTTTCTGGAAAAAAAAGTATCAAAATTAGGTAAGTTTACATTTAATACTAGAACAAATATCTGCCAGTGGAGTCAAAAACATTTACTTAATTCAAAGGGAATTTTTTTTAGAAAACAAGACAAGTAAATGTATCTTGATTCAAGAATGCTTACATATTTGTACTGGAAATAATTTTTTTAGTATAGAGAACTTCTATACTAATATCAAAATGATACTCTATCAACGGTCTTTCAAAAATGGTCAAGAAAGGTGCTCATCAAGGCTTTTGATCATGATACCATCATATTTTCTTTTTGGAATAACTTCTACATTAAAGGGTTAGTTCACCCAAAAATGAAAATCAAGCCATCCTAGGTGTATATGACTTTCTTCTTACAGACGAATCCAATCGGAGTTATATTAAAAATTGTCCTTGCTCTTCCAATCTTTATAATGGCATTGGCAGGTGTTTTTGTTCAACAGTCTGAAAGAAGTACAATAAAGCACATCCATCCATATTAAAACGTGCCTCACATAGCTCCGGGGGGGTAAATAAAGGCCTCTTGTAGAATAGAATCGATACGTTTTTGTAAAAAAATATCCATATTTAAAATTATATTAACAGTTTTGTGTAACTTCCGCTAACTGTCGTATGCACGTTCAAGAGAGAATGCCTTTCCGGCAGAGGACGTAGGATGTAGGCACAGTGCATGCGCGTGTGAGTTTCGCGAAAACCAATGTTTGTTTACAGGAGCAAAGGAAGCAAAGTTTCCTTATTTTTCCAAAGGAAAACCAGTCCTTCTTGGCTTAAATCGAAATCCTCCAACATTTTTCTTTCCAAATCCTCGTTTTGTACTTTTAATTCGTGACCGGCATTCTTCTCCACACTTCGGCGTTCGCCACTAATCAATGGCGTGCGCAACACATACGTTCTACGTCATCCGCCGGAACGGCTTCCACCTACGACAGTTATCATAAATGAAAGAAAGTTGTTTATATTCTTTTAAATATGGATATTTTTCTTACAAAAACTCATCGATTCGCTACAGGAGCCGCGTGGGGCACGTTTTAATATGGATGGATGCGCTTTATTGGACTACTTTTGGACTGTTGAACAAAAACACCCGCCCATGCCATTATAAAGTTTGGAAGAGCAAGGATAATTTTTAATATAACTCCGATTGGATTCGTCTGAAAGAAGAAAGCCATTTACACCTAGGATGCCTTGAGGGTGAGTAAAACATGGACTAATTTTCATTTTTGGGTGAACTAGCCCTTTCAGACTAAAATGACCCAAAAACCATTAGAAATGGTCAAGGAAATACCTGCATGTGCATGGAGATCTGGCGTCGCCCGTATTCACTCTGGTTATGGCGGCTGTAGTCGTCGCTGTAGCTGTGGGAGTGAATGATGCTCGGCTGACCCAGATGAGGGCCGGGTCTGAGGGTGGAGAGGTCCTCGCTTCGGGAGAAACCGCCATGGGCGAACTGCGGCATGTAAGAGGGGTGAGAAGCATCCGGCTCCGGGGCCAGCAGGAGAGGAGGAGGAGGTTGAGCTCGACTGTGCTGGTGATGAAGCTGAGGCCCGTCAGCAGCCAGGTGGAACAGAGGATTCTGGAAGGAGAGGGGGTAGCGGAGTGCGGCGGCTTGCTGCTGTTGCTGCTGGGACAGCGAGTCGGTGGTGGTTCCCATCTGGCTCAGCTGGCTCAACCTCAGACCTCCGGACATGTTGGAACCCCCGGATCCGGCCGACATACGCCCTCCGGCGCGCAGCTGACCTCCGAGGCCTCCTCCCAAGCCCGCGAGCCCACCGTAGCTGCCGAGGCCAGCAATCGAGGCCTGGGAAGAGTTGAGCATGTCCCCCATAGACTGCAGGTTAGAGATGCTGTTCATTCTTGAGTCCTGGAGGTCCATCATAGAAACATTTTCATTAACACCTACAGCAGAACCTACGGGCGAGAAGGCTGCAGATACCTGCCGAGCGCAGCAGGTGTGGCCGGTTATGAACGTGGCTTGACAGCGTGTGTATTAACTTGAGGGTTAAAAGGAATCATTCACCCAAAAATGAAATTTCTGTCATTATTTACTCCCATATGCTGTTCTTTTTTTCAATGGAACTCAGAAGTACAATTTTTATGCTTAAAAGCATGCTGCCATATTTATATTCCTTCGCTTTTTATGCACAAAAACAAAAGCCAGGTTTTTCTAGTAATAATGTCTTGATTTTTGATTATATAAACATACAGTAGCATACAATATAATACATAATATTTAAATAATGTAAATAATAACAGTCAGCTTTTACAGGATAAAATTAATGTAACTGAATTCAAAATGAACAAAAAAAAAAACACCATAAAAAGTAATACTCAAATTAATTTTTTCAATGGCTCATTTAAATGTGTAATTATTACACTGTGTAAAAAATTGCATTTAAAAAATCACATCAAAATTACTGATGATAGTTTATAATTTGTTTGACATTAAATTTATAACATATTTAAAAAAAAACTTTTTTTTGAAATAAAGACACCCAACTGTCCTAGTAATAATACATAATTGTTGAAATATTTCAACAATGTTAACAAATAATTAGAATAATCTTTTAAGAAAAATTAATTTAACTGAATTCAAAATAAAAAACACCATAAAAGTAGTTCATATGACTTAAATTTACTTTTTTTAATATGATTAATTTAAATGCCATTAAGTTACATTTAAATGTCATTTGTTTATTTTTTGTGCAAAATATTTCCATTGAAAAAAGTCATGTATAATTTGCTGATTATTCTTTAATTTTTAGATGATATTTACAGCATCTTAAAAAGACAACAAAAGTTATTATCAAATATAATGTACTATATTATTATTTCAATAATATAATATATATTTTTTTGTTTACAATTATATAATATAACAAGAAATCATTTCCAACAGCTTTTATATTAGAAAATGTAATTTCACTGAATTCGAAACCTTTGTAACAAAATCAAACATTTTCAAAATGTATATTTTAAAACTAAAGTACCTCTGAAATAGACTGCAAAAGCCAAATAAAAAAATAGACTGCAAACGCGTCAGTCTGAAGCAAAACCTAACATGGCAGGTGACTTTTGCATTTAATTTGTAATTTTTTAAAATTCAATCTGTTAAATTGTACATTTTAAGAAGACCTTGAATATAGTGCACAAATAATATGGACTACCTTTACTTTTTCAACAGCATTGGTCACTACAAAAAATGCATGTGATGCAATTTTGCATTTTTGGGTGAACTATTGCTTATTACTAACTATTTCCTATTATGCTTTTTCACTTTTGTAATTTTAGTCAGTGTGTAGTGTGTATGTTTAGGCATAAAAAAGATCTAGAAAGTTACAGATCTCAAAGTCCACTCCAAAGGGAGATATTTAGTTTTTAAAAAATACATTTTCAAGAACTACAACGAACGGCTCGTTTGGACTACAGCGTTTGTTTTCCGGGCTTTGTGATATCACAAAGCGGCTCAATGGAATATCATTACAAAGAATTCCCGCCTACAGAAATTCAAATGGTTGGGGGGTGGGGAGGGGCGAGGTTGTGGTTAGAATGCTTGGTTGAGTGAGCGCATGAGACGAGACGACGAAGAAGAAGTGCTGCTGCAGAGTTAGTTCATCAGAGAAAACCAAGAAGAAGAGCTGCAATGCTGTAGCTTCACATTTTCGGCATGTCTAGAACAATTTTTACAAGTACAACACGACGTAGCTGGCTGCCGCGGACAGACGCCGAACGGCGCCGCCGGTGTGCCTACACTCATAGAAAATAATGTATTTGAATTTTAAAGATGTGGCGCGACGTGGCGCTGCGCTTCTCGTCCGGTGCGCGACCGCCTGAAACGCTGTTTTTTTCACCTCCATGCCCAAACGACTTTGTTTGGGCTTCCGAAAGCAGATGATGTCAGGAAACAGTGGTTGTAATTTATTTTTAACTCTGTTCTGAGCATTATAACCCCAATTTGCTATTGTGTGCAGCGCATTTTACGGAGACGGAGCAAGGGGGCGTGGCAGTATTGAAACACCGTCTAAGCTGTTCGCCAATCACAACGCACTGGAACAGCTAACCAATCACAACACATTTTGTTTTTCGGAAGGCGGACCTTCATCAAAGCCGGAACTAATCGAGCCGTTTGTGCCAGGATGGGGAGAAAGGTATTTTAATAATGTAAATTATGTGAAAAATTATGCGTTTTTCGAACCACCAAGCATGAGAGCATGTTCTAGTACACCCCCAAAACAAAATCAAGACTTTGTGAAAGAGCATAATAGGACCCCTTTAATGTCAGGACCCTCATTCCCAAATGGTGATGCAAGATTAAGGTAAAGAATCTCTATCGTAAGTATTGACTGCACCCACATCATCTCGTAGCCCTCTTTCCATGCTTGGATGGTATGTGACTCTGCAGTAAGCAGGTCAGTGGCGCTTCCTTCTCCCACAGGAACAAAGCCAACCCTCAGATTTGCTGGTGAAACGTGTGCTAGGGAGCGAGCTGTTATTCACATGACAATTCGGACCAGACAGCACTGACCATAGTCATGAAAGATTTCTAAATGAAAGGGGCACCCCCCACCCTATCAGAAGCACTGTCCTATGGGACTTACCTTCGGGTCTGGATCAGTAATATCAGAACTGCTAGTGCAGTACGCTGGACTGGAGCGGGCCAACGGGGGACGGGCGACATAGAAAACGTCTTTAGATGAGGCTTGGTGAGGATGATCGCGGTCTGCAAACCCCCCCATTCCGGCCCGGGACGGAGGGGCGCCACCACTGGACATGGCAGAGGTTGGAGAGGGCAGGCGAGTGATCTCGACTGAACTATGTGAGATATGAGAAAGTTAACATGGAAAATCATATCCATATTAATTTTCTCTACTAGCAATATTCCTTAAGACACTCAGTTCCAAAACCTAGCAAGCCATATGATGTGATATATATTTTCTTGTTCTTGATTTTCAGTCAATTATTTATTTAATTAATTAATAAAATAAACTTTTTATTTTAGTATCATTGATATAATATTATAGTTTGTTAATATTTTGATTTAGACTTTTTCAGTGTTATGTTTCCTGTTTCCTGTTATGATCAAGATTTAGTCGTTTTCACCTTAATCTTAGTACAAGTTTTAGTAATTTTATTGTGTTTTTTTACATTTATTAGTGTATCTTTAATGTAGCATTTATTCATATTTATTTGTTAGTTTTAATTTATTTAGTTTTAGTTATTTTATACTTCAAGCTAAACTAAGCAAAAATTTGAAATGCTGGCAAATATCTGAAATAAAATAAGGTATATTATTTGATTTCAGTTTATGTTAATTTTGTTTCAAGTAATTTAAAAATATATATGGTTTTAGTTTTATTTAACAATAATAACCCAGTGTTCGCAGTAGAATGAAATGAAATGAAATTAAGCAGACGCTTTTATCCAAAGCGATTTACAAATGCGGACAATGGAAGCAATCAAAATCAACAAAAGAGCAATGATATACAAGTGCTATAACGAGTCTCAGTTAGCTTGACGCAGTACATGTAAGTTTTTTTTTAAATTATATAATAAAAGAAAACAGATAGAATGAAAAAGGATAGAGCAAGCTAGTGTTACGAGGCCTTTTTGCTTTTGTTAATTGTATAATAAATAAAAAGAAAATAGATAGAATACAAAAAGATTAGAGAAGCTAGTGTTAGTTTTTTTTAAGAAAACAAGCAGTTAGTAAATGAATAGTGTGCAAGTCTAAAAGTTTTTTTAAAGAATAGAATTAGAATAGAGAGTACTAGAGTTAGAGGGTCAAATAAAGATGGAAATTAAAAATTAATAAATAAATTAATTAATTAAACCAGTACATAAAAAAGAATATTCATTTTAATATTTGCTTAAGATTATATTTAACAATGTTATTCAATCATCAGTCTTTTTTTACGATTAATTTTAAGTGACAGGAAAAAAAATCTAAATGTTATACTAAAATATTTCCCATAAAAATAAGAATTCACAATTAAATATTTGGACAACTAAACTAAATGAATAAAATAAAATAGCATAAAATAAACTAAAATAAAATGTATTTATATAAAATCTCATTTATACTCTTACCCATTTTTTTAATACAATATTCTAAATTATTTCATTGTTTCATACAAATGTGATATTATAAAAGACAACATGTTGTTTCCTAAATTAAATAATTGCCTTTTATATAGTTACTGTACTAAAACCACAAATAATGATTAACAAAATAATGATTACGGTCTCTGTAAAATAGAATACAATTGTTTAAAAATAGAAAGCAGAACGAAATAGTAAAACAAAAAGATTTAATTTTTAGCACCCATTACACCTCGATTCAAGTCCTAAAAATACAGACTAAGTAGGCAGCTCACTAGGATTTGGAAAGTAGTGGTGACACACATACAGTAATGGCGTTTTTCCACTGCGTGGTATGACTCGGCTCGGCACGGCTCAGCACGGCACGGTTCGGCTCGGCACGGTTTGTGTTTCCACTGCAGTTCAGTACTGCTTTAGAGTGGGCGGGATTATTCACATGTCGTTATAGTTGCGCCGCCTCTAATACCACGACTCCTAACTCCTAACGTTTTCATTCCTGCGTCGCCCCATCAAGCTCTCCCTGGATCCGCTCCTCTGCTATCAACGAGAGGAACGTCTGTTCTTCCGCAACAGACAACAAAACTTTTTGGTTGTTAAAAAAAGGTGCGCTCGTTCAAAACAGTTGCGTTCGATCCTTCGCTGGCTGTGCTGATTTAAATCTAGCGGTTCTGTTGTGTTTGTGACGCAGGTAGTGACGATTCTCTCCGGCCAATCCGTGATCAGCAGAGTTTACACGTCACATTTTGGTAATGGTACGGTTCACTTGGAACCCCAACAGAGGTGGTACTAAAAAAAGTACCAGGTACCAGGTACTGTACCCAGTGGAAAACCCCCCAAAAGTGAACCGTACCGTGCCATACCATGCAGTGGAAAAGCACCATAACATACCTGTTGAGGTCCCTCATCATGAGGTTCTGGAACTCAGACGAGACGCCCCTGTTGAAGCTGGGCCTGGAGAGCAGCCTGTCTGTCTGTCTCTCTGGAGGCGGTCTGTCTGTCTGATGACTGGGCTGTCGCTGGAGGTGAGGGTTACGAAGGGCCATGCTGATGTCATTTAGAAGGCGGGGCAATGGTCCGAGTTTGATGATAGCATCCTTTGGCACGGTAAAAACAGACCGAGGAGACCAAACTGATGACCAATCGCAAACGTAAGTAGACAATCACACTCATCCTCATCTAGAATATCAAACAGCATCTACCTTGCTTAGTTGTGCCATGACCTCCCACAAAAGACTGTGCAGGATCGAGAGCTCCCTTCCCAAGTCGATGTAGCCCTCAAAAGCAACTGCGTTGCTCACGCTGTCGAGATTAGAGATCTCGTACAGGAACTGCTGCATGGAGCCCCACTCCATCTCTAAAAACTCATTCATAAAGGACATGTACTCCTCCTTACTGCCAAACCTGTAACACATAGGTAAGGACACAGGGTTTATATGGTCCGCTTTGGATGTTAAGACAATGATAATGAAGATAATGTGAATGATCATTATGTTCATCATCAGTAACGGCTGCACAGTTTGTAATAGCTCAATGGTTAACGATCTGGGCTGACAGCCCAAACGTCATAATTTAACCCATAAAACCCATCACCATCTTGTCCTTGAGCACACTTAAAGTTAAGATGACAGTCCCAGATTTCAGTGTATCACATGTTGGTTTGGATGGAAGAATAACATTTAAAGCACAAATATCATGATCACAATTAGGGATGCAAAGATATTCAAATTATGGCTGTTAAGGTAACCATGATATTTATTTGTCAAAAAAAATTTATAAATAAAACACCAAAAACTAAAGTTAGTTACTTTAAATCAATTGCTTTAAATCTATTAAAGCATTATCATTTTTAAAGATTGATTTTAAGTAAGCTTTAGTTGATGGCAAATATAATCCAAACATAAAAAATAGGGAAAATGCCCAATTCAAATAAAATAAAATAAAATTAAGAAAGAAATAATCAAATAAAATGGTACCAATACATCATGTATTTCAAATCAGAATGAGGAAAATTAAAATACAAAATTGAATATCTAATGTGGAAAATAAAATAGAATAAAATAAAATAAAATCAGTTGATAACCAATATGATCCAAGTGTATCATGCATCCCCAAACAGAATGGTTACCCTGCTGAAAAGACCAGCATCAATTTAAGTTACTGTACTCTCATAATACAGCAGAAAATGATGACATGGTAATAAAGTTAGAAGACCTTAGAGAAGTGTGTACTGACTTTGAGAAGTTTGCAAGGTTCTGCACAACTTTGGCTATGAGGGTGAGTGTGCGTGAAGTCTGCTCATCGGGGTACTCCTGTGTGAGGTTGAATAAGGATGGCGACATGACGGCTGGACACAGGAAGCGCAGGAAGAGGGAACCACTGATCAGTCGATCTGCAATGTCTTCTCTTCCCCTCTCAGCGCATCGAACACGCCAGGATGCAAACACCTCTTTCAATTCTCTTGGAAACGCACTGGGAGAAACAAATAATACAGTTTATTTCCATTTAGATTTTAGCAGCTAGTGTGATATCATATTTTCACTGCCCCATCATGTATAAGATATTAAAGTGAACAAAATAAAATGTCAAAATTCATAATGAGGGATCATGTGTATTGTTATCAATATAGTTTTCTCAATATGTTTCATAGAATTGTCATCATGCAATCTTAAGAAAGATTTTTTTAAAAGATCACAGCTATTATAAAAAAGTTGTTTTGCCTCTCAAACCCAAAAGCTGCAAAAATATCACAATGTATCATTTTTGTATATACAATGTATCATTTATTTAGTTTTACTGTCCAGTGGTGTGGTGCACTTAATTAAATATATACAGATTTATTTAGTTAGTTAGTTAGTTTTATGTATGTATTTTTTGGGTGAATAGAAAGTTCAAAAAGACCAACATTTATTTTAAAAATAAATATTTTGTAACATTACAAATTATTAAAAAAAATAATCAATTTAATGCATCCTTGGGGAGTAAATTTTTTTTTAAATTTTATTTACATAAAACTTTTTAATGGTAGCGTATCACAAAAATATTAAGCAGCACAACTTTTTTCAGTTATAATAATACTACTAAATGTTTCTTGAGCAGCAAATCAGCATATTCAAATGATTTCTGAAGGATCATGTGACACTGAAGACTGGAGTAATGATGCTGAAAATACAGCTTTGCATCACAGGAATAAATTACATTTTAGAACATATTCAAATAAAAACAGTTATTTTAAATTGTAAAAATATTTCATAATATTACTGTTTGTCCTGTGTTTTTGATCAAATAAATGCAGCCTTGCTGAGCAGAAGAGACATCTTTCAAAAACAGTAACAACAATTTTTAATTATTTGATTGCTGCAGTACATCTTGCAGTTTTTTCAGCATGGAAATTTACAGATGGCACATCGATTTAAAAACTGTGTGAACGGCTCATGAAAGGATGGTCTATTTCAGCTCTGTAACTAACCAATGAGAGTTGACGATTTTGCAGAGTGCAAGCTCACAGCACATCCGGAGGTTGGCTTGATGTTCAGGCAGCACAGAAGGCGGAGTCCTCATTGGGTCGACTTCACAGTTCTCCTCTGACTCATACAGCGCACGGATAAAATCACCTGAATCCAGATGAGACCATTAATGTGTGAGAGTACAGCAGCTGAAACTACGACAACTCTCCAAACAATCTGAGGAAGTCTCACCTAAAACGTCTTTGAGGTACTTATGCCCGATGAGTTTGAGGTACTCTTCTATGGCTTTGGTGGCCAGGGTGTTCTCTCTGAAGATCAGGTGCTCTCGATCGATAAATCGGTCCACCTCACACATCGCCATGTCTGAAAGAAAATCCTTGTGCAGAACAAAAGAAGAGACATCTGTAATCACTTGACAATTACCTACATATCATTAAACATAGTGAGTTGCCTTTTGGAGACATATGGAGACTGTCTCCTAATCATGATAGAACCAAATAAGTACGTGATTTTTAGTGCTCTTCATCGACAGCTACAGTGTTGTTATTATTAGCAAAACTATTTCAAATTGCTTTGGTAATTGAAATGAAGTTGAAATTAAATATAAATAGTAGATACAAACTTAAAACTTAAACGAAAATTAGAAATGTTGCCTTAGAAACTAAGTGAAGTTAACTACTAAACTACATTTTAAGTTGAAGCACTGAAATTGCTAAAACTAAAACTAAGGAAAATATATATATTTTTTATATTTATAAAAAATTATAATACAATTGACAAAAACACATAGCATAAATTAAAATAAAATAAAAAATATAAAAATATAAACATATTTATAAAAAAAATACAATTGACAAAAATACATAAATGAATAAAACTAAAAATAATATGTAAAATAAATGTAAAAATAAAAAAATAAAAGTTAATATTCAAAATATGAATAAATACTATAATACTGTGTGCCCGACAAATAATACTCGCACAGAGAGTTTGATGTTTGAACTAACATGCTTAACAATACATATACCCAAAATATTAGATAAAACAGTATATTTTTAATTAGATTACACTATTTGTGAAATAGTTTTTAGTATTAAATGAAATACAGTATTTTTTTCTGCATTTTCTCTGATTTAATGGATTTAAACATGGTGATTCTCCAAAATGCGAACATAAAATTACACAACATATACACATATTAAGTAAATTATTACATTTTACTCTATAGTTTTTTCCCCCCAATTATTTTCACAATTAAATCAAACATTAGCAGGTCATTAGCAGTCTGCTGTTAATTTCTTTCTGATTTATAGAATTAAACATGGCTAAATGTTTTAGATGGAGCAGAAATAATCTAATTGGTAGGTGAAAATAACTTTTCAAAAGTATATATAACTATTTCTCTCACTTTAACTCAGTTTGGCACAATTCATTCTGGGATTCTCTTTGTCACAAAATTTTGGTGCCAAATTTACTTCAGGAGCATACATATGATGTCTTATGCTGTCTGATTAGGCAGCTCACTAGGTTTTGGAACATACTAAATAGCCTACATGCAAACAAACATTATTCAACAAAGTGGTACCTTGGCCTTCCCTGTGCTCTGCAGGATGTGCACCAGAGCACAGGCCACTTCCTCTTTGCTCTTGACACTCAGCAGCGGCTCCAGAACGGCGCACAGCGTACGGTAGTTGTTGGTCACATACTCTGCGAACTCTTTATACAGCTCCATCGGCAGGATGCTCATGGTCTGAAAGCGCGACTTGAGCCGCAGGGAAGCGTTGATGATTTTGCCCCCTCCAACTCCGCCACCCTTGGCCAGGACGCTGGGCTGAATGACGGGGTACCATTGCTCCACAAACTGACGACCAGTGATGCTGGAAATGGGAATGCTAATCAAGCCCAGGTATGTGCTCTTCTCCTGTTATGATCAAGAAAATTGACAAAACAAAATGATCAGTCACTATATCAAGAGACCATATCATATCAAAGTCTCATCTTTTCATCATCATTTTAAATGGTTATGCCTTGAAGCATTATTTGCTATCAGTTTTTTGCTTATTTGCATTTAAAAAAAGTTTTTGAGTCTATAGGAGTCATTTCTATCATCATATCATATTTTTATATACACACACTTAAATTTTGTAATAGTTATTAATTTAGAAAAATAATATTTTAAAATAATAATTAATTTATAATTAATACATACTATTAATATACAATAATTATTAAAATTAGGATAATTACTGTACAAATTATACGCACACACACGATAATGAATATACACACACATGTGTGTGCTGTGAAAAATGTTATATATATTCATTATATATTTGTATATTATTTCTGTTAACTTTTATATATATATTTTTTTAAATACATATTTTTCAATATTTACATTTTATTTGATTTGCATGCATACAGTCTTGAAGTCTTAATTTTGAGTTGTATCTATCAAAAGAGTGTACCTTGCGTCTTTTCTTGTCTGTCTCTTTGTAAAGGTGAAGGCGGAGGTTGCGGACAGCTGGCAGGTTGTTGAACTCGAAGTGCTCACCCCAGAAGACAGTATCGGTTCGGGGTTTGCTGGTGGTGCGGGCGTAAAGCATGTCATCCAAGCACAGTTCACAATAATAGCGCTTTTTGGGTGGGAGTTCACGGGCCTCGATGATCCACAGCTTCAGAACGTTGTCGACGCGTCGACTGTTGTCCTGAGTGTGGAAAACACAGATGGTAAAGCCAACACAGTCATATCTGCACCATATAAACTGCAGGTGAGGGTGGTGAGGGGGGTTGCAGATCTTCAAATGTGTCGTCAAGCATGCAGACAGACAGCAGAGACTGCAGTGATTTAATGATCTGAACTTCTGTTAGTCTAACGCCTACAGCGTGTCTAAAGTGCTGGACGGTCTCACAGAATGATGAGTCATTTGAACCATCAAAATGCCACTTTCTACTGGCAATCATAGATGCACTAAATATACTCTGAAAAACAGATTTCCAAAGCTCCGGTCCTTTCAGTAAAAAATAAAGTGACGATAACATGCATGGTTTCAGATGGTAATACTATGGTATTCTGATATATAACATGTTACTGAGTGATTACCATATTCATATACCAAGGTTCTTCAAAGATACAAAGGCAGACTGACATAAATCGACCAATAACAGTTCGTTCTTTTTACATGCTGTTTAGAAGTGGTACATTTGTAAGTTTGGAAGACTAACAGACTGTGTGGAAAAACATTCAAATAATGTTAATTCACTGAACAGCTGTACAGAAAATACAGCTGGAAAAAAAATCTGTAAATTCTGTTCATTCTAAAACAATAAATAGCAAATTAGCAAACTCAATTATTGTACTTATAATAATTATTATTATCATTATTAATATAAAGTAACTTTTCTCTTAATATATTTATATTAATATTTGTATTTTATTTATAATAATATATGTATTATTTATAATAATAATACATTTAAATTTATAATATTTATATATGAACTGAATTTCTAGCCATCCTAAAATAATAAATAGCAATTATTATTATTATATGAACAAAGGATGTGTATTATGAATATATTTTCATTTATAGTATTTATATTTATATATGATCTGAATTTCTGCCCATCCATACATTAACCATACAATATACCTTCATATTAAAAATATTAATATATTTTAACTACATTATTAACATAATAATAATAATAAAAATGTCTTAATATTTAACAAATAAAAAGTACTGATTGTGGATATCTAGTTTACTTGCTACTAAATGCCTTAAAACTTTGAATATATTTCAAAGTAGGGATGCACCGATACCGATACTGGTATCGGGCCCGATACTGAGCTCCTGTACTCCTACTCGTACTCGTTAAAATGTCCCGATACCAAACGCTGATACCACACAGCATGTGACAAGTGCCATATTCAGACAAAGAAACACAGACAACAGAACAACAGACAGCAGAATGGAGTTATTAGAGATTAAGGATGTCTACGAAGTATATGTATGCAATGAATATAATGTTAAACATTCAGTATTAACCCCTGTATAGCTGATGTGCGCGAGCTGATAATCAAAGCACGCTGAGTGGATTGAGCGTGCGGCGGCGCAGATGCGCGAGCTTGTCGAGTGAATATACCTTTCTCACAGACATCACTGGAAAGTTTGTAGTTCGGTCGGATATGTCAAAAACAAGCAAGTAAAACAATGCACACGTTACTTAACGGTATGGAGAGAGAGAGAGAGAGAGAGCGACCCGAAGACTTGTCAGATAAGAGGTGAGGTAAGCTAATCATAGACTGAAGACCCAGGTAAACAATGAATTAATCTTTTCTGTTTCTTATTGCAGTTTTGAATTGTTTGTAGTGTGATCGGCGTTTGCGTTAGTAGACGTGTTAGGGAAGTAACAAGTAACATTTTAATTATATTTTGCTAAAATGAACGAAATGACTCGAAAAAAGATTCGTTCATTTTGCTGAACGAGACTCAAAGGTCCGAGTCGGTAAAATGATCCGAACTTCCCATCACTATTCTGCACCAGTACAAATACATGCACGCGTTGCGTGTTTTGCTTGCTTGAGTGTTTCTGCATTATATGAGTGGCTTTGGAATATAAATCGCAGCACATTTCAGATGAAAAAAAACGTGACTTCTATTTCTGAAAATATCACAGTTAGGAGATTTATAACGAGTGGTTCCCAGCATTATTACAGCAAAGCGCGTGATTACAGCCGCTGCAATGGAGCAGCTCTAATGCTATTAAATTAAAGATGTACCATAGAGCAAAAAATGAACAGTGAAAGTAACAAAAACTTGTAAAATACATTTGAATGGGAATGAATAAGTGTGAAAATAACAGAAGGTTATACAGTCAAACCAAAAATTATTCAGAGACCAGATATCATTTTTGATATTTTTTTACTAGTGGGTGCAGGACACTATAGTTCATTTATGTAAGTGAGGATAGCAAAATTATTACCCAAAATTTCTTCATACAGTGGACTACCAGTAAAACTGATACAAATTTGGGACCAAAAATTATTCATCATATATGGAAAAAATAAAAATGAAGTTCAGGTTTGCATGAAGCTGGGTGACAGCATGCCCAGGGGCCGGTCGCACCAGCTGGACGTGCACCCGGTTGTAAGACTAGGCTGGACGTAAAATGCGCTTTAAGTCCTGCGTAGAATTTATACCCGTTGCAACATCTCGGCGTAGTGCTACGTCTGACACTAAATCTTACACCTAGTCAGAGGTAGGTGTAAAGTGAAAAGTCATGATTTGCTCGAACATTATTCATTTTTAGGATTCATGTCTGTTAGTTAATTATTACTGCAGGCGTGACCTGTAATGTTTATGGTCTTTTCGGGCAGGATAAGCAATATCAATCGCGAAGCTCTGTGCTATCCTACCACACTGTCGACATTGAATACAAAATATATTTCTGTCAAGCATGTAATAATTATGCAGTAAAATATTACATATGAACTGGGATTATTAAAAGAACCTGACCCATTTGACATCTTGCGTGGAAGGACAGTGTGCTTGAAAATATTTCACGTCTTTAATTCAATTCATTATTTGTAGCGTGCCTGCCACACCTATCCAATAATCGCAATAAGTTTTGTGCTTTGCTATATACTTTTAATCAGAAATAAATGATCAGCTTTCAAATTCTGTGAATTTTATCACAAAATGCAAACCATAAACGTGTTTTCCAGCCACAGAAAGACAGCAAAACACAAAATGTCACGTAAAGTCACAATTACCTCAGGAAAGACATGCATTGTACATAAACTTGATAGTCAGCTATAAAAAAAATAACTAGAGAGAAGCATTGTATTACATTTATTATATTTCACTTAACCTTGATGAAATCTGTCATGGGAGTGTGCAGGGAGACTTCAGATATAAAAACGCGGACTTGTTAGGAAATGTTTACTCAATGAAATCATAGCACGGTGATTTCACTTATATTATGTCTTGAGCAATTCAGTTCTATATTAGTAGAACTAATATTTAGTTTTCTGTTGGACTGGTAAAGACCTGCACAACCTGAATCCCAAAAGCTAAGAATTCATTCTGATTAGATGTAATTCCAGTTGTACTTTACAGTTTTGACGGTTAGTGGACAGATTGTGACGCCATCTGTGACTATATGTCAAAGAAACTATGGTTAACACACGTTATTCCTATGGTACATGTCCAAAATCATGGTATTATCATGGTACCATATGTTCAAATAATGTTTTTTTTGTCAGTGAGTGCTTCAGTGGTTTGCTGTGAACTAATCAGTGATGCACATCTGTGCTTTTGTCTATAACTTCAGAAACTCCTTCAACTAATCAGCTAATAAACCAAACTTACGAACACCCTTGGTCCGTCCTCGTTTATTGTAATATTGACAATGCATCTGTTGCGAGACTGAGCGGGCTGATCATTTTTGGACGCCCGTGACATGTTCTCCACGCAACATGATTGAGCCCAAACTCCTGCTGCCTGAACACCTGGACGAGTCAATCCACAGCGCTCTCTTTCTAAAGCTCACCCATTCAAAACCCCCAAGACAGACACAGCTAATAGACGTCTGCAGGAGGATCCAGTATTCTACACGGGCCTTTGGGATAAATATTATCTAAGCATACCAGATTAAAAAAGAAAGCATCTATTTCATTATAAGGCAGACCAGCACAGGAAGCCTTTTCAAGCTCATTCAGGAATCCCACAAATAGCAGTAGAAGCTAAAATGAGTGTAAAGATGGAAATGATAGGAGAGGTAGTTACTGGAGTAGACTGATACAGTCATGGAAGAAGAGAGTTCCTCTTTTCTTTTTCTTCTTTACACTCACTTTGTTTGGTTTGACAGCTCTCTGCAGATTCTCTATCCATTTGTCTCGCTCCGCAGCCGACCGACAGGCAAAACACTTTGTTCCTGAAGCAGTTATCACCTAAGGAAAGGAATAATGAGTTTCACTATTTCAACCATCAGCGTAATTATAATGATAAGAAAGAGCAACAAAATTCCACAGGGCACTGGAGTTAATATAGTCATGCATTTGATGATTTAAGATGAAATGTGTGATTTCTATGTCACTAGTGGCACCAAGTGAAACTGACAGAAAAATCACAGATTTCATTTGTTGTTCTTCGTTTCATAGAATGACAGAGCAATAGATAGATAGATAGATAGATAGATAGAACAGAACAATATAACGATAGATAGAACGATAGAACGATAGAGCAATAGATAGATAGATAGATAGATAGATAGATAGATAGATAGATAGATAGATAGATAGATAGATAGATAGAAAGATAGATAGAAAGATATAGATAGACAGACAGACAGACAGACAGACAGACAGACAGCTAGATAGATAGATAGATAGATAGACAGATAGATAGAACAGAACAAAAAAACGAAAGATAGAACGATAGAACGATAGAGCAATAGATAGATAGATAGATAGATAGATAGAATGATAGATAGATAGAATGATAGAACGTTAGAACGATAGATAGATAGATAGATAGATAGATAGATAGATAGATAGAACAGACAGACAGACAGACAGCTAGATAGATAGATAGATAGATAGATAGATAGATAGATAGATAGATAGATAGATAGATAGATAGATAGATAGATAGATAGATAGATAGATAGATAGATAGATAGACAGACAGACAGCTAGATAGATAGATGGATAGACAGACAAACAGACAGACAGACAGACAGCTAGATAGATAAATAGATAGATAGATAGATTTAAATATTAAAATCAGAACTGTACTAAGTTTGTAATGCTATTTTTAATAAACATCTGGTAGATTCTGGATCATGCAGCTTCTGAGTCTGAAGTATATAGTTTGCAGTAGATCACCTCAAAGCAGTACTCCTGCCCCAGTATACTGGAGTGAACAGGCTTGATGACCGCATCTTCATCAAGTGTCAAATCCAAGGCCTCGGCTGCGCTGCTGGGAGACAGCAAAGACTCATGGGAGTGTGATTCTTTGAAGCTCTGCATCAGACGAGTCCTGTGAGGGAGCAAGAACAGCAGGTCTGAGAGAGAAGACACTCACATCACACTCCTACATGACAAGGTCAATATACTTCATTTGATATTACACAAGTCAAGATTCTTCGGAAGTCCTTTTTCTGTGATTTACGGAGAACAACATCAGCGTCTTTTTTTGGAATAGAGTACTAACATTTTTGGAATAAAGTACTAAAGCCATTTAAAATGAACTTAATTTACAAACAAAAAAAGTTTGTTAATGACTAAAATACTCAAGGTCGATTTGATTTCAGTGGTTAAGCTGAATTGTGGTTAATTAGCGAATAGTTTAGTGAATTCAACCCTTAATATGTTCAAAAAACTTTTATTTGCATACATGCAGACAATTTCTAATCAGTCTCAGCACAAATATGAGCACATTTACGCTGCATAACAACATACATACATGCATTTACCTCTCTGTACCTGCAAACCCCCCCCCCCCCCCCCCCCACACACACACACACTCACTTCATAGTTTACAGCTACAAACTCTTGAACGAGCTGAAGAGAAGATTGACAAGCTTATCGAGAAGTACAATTATATAAACATCAAAAGAAAAAGTATGATAAATTGTTAGATCCCTACTAGTGATGTATCGCTTCCCCTGCGTCTTCTGAGACTCACTGTATATGCATACATTCAGCCTCACAGCGTTAAGTACATACAGTGTGGGAGAGAGAGAGAAAGAGATGGAAGGTATAAAAATAGACCCAAAGGAGTGAGTCAGAATGAAAGAAATGATAGAGCGAGTGGAGGAGGGAGAGAGAGAGAGAGAGAGAGAGAGCCAGCGAGAGTAGTGAGACAGCGAGAGACTTCTCAGTGGAAATCAAAATGTTATGTAAACCGTGGGAACTGAAAGGAGGAAGACAAAGACGGACAGACCGAATGAAGGACTGAGATGCAGGGATGTAGCAAAGGACATATCTATCGTTCTATCTATCTATCTATCTATCTATCTATCTATCTATCTATCTATCCCACAGAAAAAAAAACACAAGAAAAAATTACTTAAAATGACTTTAAATTTTCCCACACCAATTTTCAAAAGTAATAGTTTATTTATTTATTTGTTTGAAAATGATACATTTATTTAGCAAGGATGCATTAAAGTGATGAATTGTGATAGACATTTATAATGTTACAATAGATTCATATTTCAAATAAATGCTATACTTTTGAAGCTTCTATTAATAAAATAATAATAAAAGTTGCTCAACTGTTTTTACTATTGATAATAATAAGACATTATTCTTGATCAGCAAATCATCATTAGAATGATTTCTGAAGGATTGTGTGAAGACTGAAAATTCAGCTTTGCCATCACAATAATAAATGATATCATATAACATATAGAAAAACAGAAAACAATTATTTTCTGTTATATTTATTGCATTTTGTAATATTTCACATTACTGTATTTTTTATTAAAAAATTCTTTATTGGTGAGCATAAAATACTTCTATTGGTGGGTTTTCAGTGTATTGTGATGAAATAGTATTTTTTAAATAAATATTTATTTTTCATTTATTTCTTTTTGTATTTGTATTACCATTCAAAAGGCAGTTAAATTACATTGCAAAATAATAAGTGAACATCAAAAAATTAAAAAAAATTCTGGCAATGAAACATCAAACTGATCCAATGGGTGCATTTGAGTTTATATATTTTAACTTGCATTGTACATTTTATAATTTTTTTTAACATAACCTTCCTCCTTTATTTTTTGCTTTTAAGCAGGTAAGGAGACTCAAGAGCAGGCAGCATGAAAGAAAAGTGGGATTATTCTTCTTGGAAAGCTATTTAGTAACTGAGACGAACAAAGATGTACATTTCTGTCTGTTCATCATCACACAAAGCTATCATATGAGTCACTTTTATGGAGTTTTTATCTTTTATTCAGCCTGACAGGATAAATCACCGTTAACTTCTACTTGTACGGAAAAGAACCACTTGGACATTTTCCAAAGATCCTCATTTTGGGTTTGGAACAACATGAGGGTGAAGAAATGATGAAGTATCCCATTCACATCTACACAAACAAGCTTTTGGGACGAGGTCAGTCAAATCCAAAAGATAAGTGAGTTTTCTCTACCAAATTCCAACGCATAATTACTGGTATATCGAATTTGTGTCATACTTAAGTTCTCAGTTCTCTTTGAGATCAGGTGGATTATATCACAATTACATCCCAAAATGAAAAACAGCATAAGAAACGCAGTCTTTCTCTGAGACGCTGTTCACAGCACTGAAATTCTGCCCCACGCTGTCACTCCAGCTGTTAGACTCCATTAGTGCATCATACTACCGTTCCAGTTAAGGGCTGAATCAAACGATTATATGAAAGAGGAGTTGTCTGTTTGAATTACTCAAAGCGGTCGGCAGCACGGCCTTCATTTCAAAGCTACAGCGCAGCGAAAACTCCCTCTTTGAAAAGGAAACATCACTAAAGCTTCCCTGTCCGAACTGAGCAGGAACTTCAAAAACCACAACCTGCCTTTTTCTGGAAGACCACAGGCTGACCGTGGGTGAGCGTAGAGCTCTGAGCACGAAGAAATGAATGAATAAACCATGACGAGAGCACCTCAGCACCTGTCGGGATGCTTGAAGATGGATAATAAGGAACTAGAGAACGCTCCAGATTGAGAGATATTGAATTGGAGTGCAAACCGGAGCAGTTCATCTAAAAATGATGACTTGCTGACCTCTATTTTATTTCAATCTCACATCTTTTATGAAACACAAAACGACTCCTTCACTATATATTGTATATTTATGACTATATGTGAATAATGACTTAAATGTCAGTGTTTCTCACACAAAGCTACCATACACTCTTAAAAATAAAGGTGCTTAAAATGTTCTTCACAGTGATGCCACAGAAGAACCATTTCTGGTTCCACAAAGAACCATTCAGTCAAAGGTTATTTAAAGAACCATCTCTTTCTTACCTTTTTGTAATCTGAAGAACCTTCTTTCGCCACAAAGAAGCTTTTGTGAAACAGAAAGGTTCCTCAGATGTTGAAGGTTCTTTATGGAACCATTTAGACAAAAAGGTTCTTCTATGGCATCGTGAAGCACCTTTATAAATATTCTTTATTTATTTTTCTTATTAATATTTTTAATAAGAGTGTATAATGTAATGCACTAGTCATTTGAACTCTTTTTATGATGTGTTTCTGGTGCTTTTTTGGAGTTTGACAGTATAATTCACCATAAAACACTGAAAAAGGGCAATTCGGATCTCATTTTGTGTTTCACAGAAAAGAGAAAATAATGGGAACATTCTGTAATTTTTTACTCACCCTCATTTTGTTCCAAACCTTTTTATTCCTTATGCTGAACACAAAAGAAGATATTTTGAAGAATGTTTTATAGCCAAACAGTAAACGGTAGCCACTGTCTTCAATAGTATGGAAAAAAATACTATGGATGTTAAGTTTGGTTACCAACAAATATCGTTTTTTGTTCAACAGAAGAAAGGAGCACATACAGGTATGGAACAAGTTGAGTAAATGATGACAGAATTTTCATTTTTGGGTGAACTGTACTCATTCACAGCGAAGAGGCTTTGAAGTGGAATATCACGACACAGCACTGTTTCCACATGCGGTTATGGGAAGAAGAGTTATAGGATGGTACCGTTCTTGGTCGGCGCTGCGGAAACGAGGGAGGATCATGTGGCGGAAGCTGCTGGTTCGGTCCAGTTTGGGCTGACTCTTGGCCCGTTTAATGGACCCCTTCAGTCTTCTACTGAGGAAACTCTGAGAAAAAGAACAGACTCTGAATTAATATGCATAACCACAGAACACAAACCTAAGGAATGGATTTGGATTGCATAGTCAGATTGTTGAAAACATAAACACGGGCAATATTTGCACCCACAAAGTGATTTGCAAGTGATGTTTTTACTACCATTTTTACTTATTTTTTGCTACTACTACTACGGCTATATAAACCATATAAAACACAGTGTGCAGGAATTATTATAAAGTATTATAACATTGAAAAAATACATGCTTCATCTTTATCCAAGCCTTTGGATAAATAGACACAAAAAAATAGAATAAACTATTTTGGAATTAAATATTTTTTAATAAAATATTTTTAAAAATGGAATAAAAATGTTATACATTTTTATTAAGTATTTATTATAAATATTATATACAAACTATTATAAAATAATTATAATATGTATTATTATATTAAAAAGTCTAAATGAAAAAAAACTTTTATATGTATTTATATTTTATATAATATTTAGTATTTATATTATTGTTTATATACACACAATGTATACATATTTAAATACATTTATTATAAATATTACAATTACTTTTTAAAATAATTGCTTATTTTATTATTAATAATAGAAAGTATTATAACATTAATCGAGCATATTTTTAAAAAACAATTCTTTATTATATTTATTATTATATCAAAAAGACAAAACTGAATAAAGTTTAAAAAATGTTATATATATATATATATTTTATAAATTGTATCTGAATATGTGTTTGTTATTAATAATAGAAAGTATTATAACATTTAATGAGCATATGTAAAATGAAAAATATATATTTAAAAAGCAATTCTTTATTATATTTTATTATATATAATTATTTATCTACATAATTCTATTATTAATTAGATTAGCAGATGTAAAATTGTGGTGCAACTGACTGAAATGATTTTCCTTTGCTGGAGGAAAAACACTCCAGCAATGTTGCACTATCCACACTCAACCAATAGTTGGAAGTGTTGCTTCATAAATATTTCCTGACGCCTACAGTAAGAACAGACTGGCAACAGCAGGCAAGAGGTTCACGCCACAGCAGAGTAAAAACAACGTCAGATCTCACTGTGCTCCTAATGCTTTCATAAGACGTGCAATCTCAGATAAAACCTGATCAAGACACAACCCATCAACAGAAGAATGTTTAGACAGCAGATGAAGCTGTGAAAACTCTTCTCCTCCGTGATGATTATAGTTTTTGCAAGGCAACGGTGTACTGATATTCCTCAAACATTTTGGCTAGGGGGCTCATTTTAAACTAGCACCCCTTAGTATCAAACTTGCACAATTCAATTCAGCCCAAACTACTCACCCATCTCAAACTGTCATTCAACCTTGTTTCATCCTCAGGTGTGCTATCTATTTTTAGTTTTTGTAAATTTACAAAGAAATTCAGATTACATTTTGAAAATCTCCCATTTGGAAAGCAACATTTCATTTACGCAGTTCCAAAGCCTAAAACTTTGCTGCCTTGCACGAATTGTTATTTCCTTCAGGAAATGCAAATCTAGTCAGTTCTGCGGTCCTAAATGAGCTCTGTATTTCTACAGCAGAATTTAGATTAATTAAAGGACTGATTTTAAGACTCTTTGTAGTTTTGCTCATATCATGATACTGTCGTGAACGCACGTCCACAAGTGAGACGAAAATGTGGAATAAAGTCGTTATTTTTGTTTTCTTTGCGCAAAAAAGTATTCTCGTAGCTTCGTAAATTGACAGTTGAACCACTGATGTCACACGGACTACTTTGTCGATCATCTTGGTACTTTTCAGGACCTTGAACGTGGTAGTTACCTTGCTGTCTACGGGAGGGTCAGAGAGCCCTCATATTTCATCAAAAATAGCTTAAATTGTGTTCTGAAGATGAACGAAGGTCTTATGGCTTTCGAACAACACGAGGTTGAGGAATTAATGACAGAATTTTCATTTGTGGGTGAACTAACCCTTTAAGAAATGCATTTAAGCACTTTTCTTAACCTAAAAAATTGATCTGATTACGACTAAAATATTAAGCATGCAAAGCATGTAAGCATCTATTGCAGTGCCTCTCATTTACTATCACAGACATTTGCTGACATCCCCTTCCCAAAAACATACCACAGCAACCAGAGTTTCGGCCAAACTGTTATGCTAATATAGTCATTATAGTAGCATGCTAAGGTAAGCATCAATATTACTATTGCTCACACGTGAACAAGCATTTTTTTTAACTTGGCACTTGTCTTACATTGTTTGTTTGACAGAAATGAATGCTGTCTCAATTCATGGGCCACGTTAGAGAGCTGTGCTGTTACATTTCTAAATAATAGGACAACTTATTTATTTTATTAATTATTTATTTTTTACAATTTTTGTCTAGCACACGAAAAAACAGGGTGGATATCTCATGGGCTAACACTGAATAGTCATCTAGAGGCAAAACAATCACAGATGGACTCTTGACTAGGACCAATAAGCAACCAAACAGTGATTAGAAATTAACTTTTTTATTCAAAGAAAATACTTTGAATTGATTTGTATGACTTTTATTTTTCACTACACTGAAAAGAAAGGTGCAGGATTTAATTTGCAACCATTTTCACTCAGAAATTGCTAGTAAATTTGACAAATAAACACAGAGAAGTAACACATTGAAGTAAATGAAAAAATAATTGAGTGGAAAGACTTCAGGTTAAATATACTCCAATAATCTTTGTTTAAAAACAACTTTGAAAAAAAAAATAAAAAATCATATTATTTGTAATATTTTTGTAGTAAAACGTTACTTTTTAACCACTATTTCTGTAAAATGCAAGTAATAGATAATCATGTCCAAAACAATTATTTTAGAATAATTGATCTGTGGTTGCAATGCTATTTGAATTAAACCGGGACATTAAACCTAAACAAAAGTCATCATGTTCATTCTAATTTAAACAGACAAAAAGGTCTACATTAGTTTATCAATAAAAAGAGAGAGAGAGAAAAATAAACAATATCATACTGTATTTTGGCAGAAACCATAGCTGCAATGTTACATTTCCATTATTATTAGTTTTAAAGAGACAGTTCACCCAAAAATGACAATTCTGTCAGATATAATGGAAGTCAATGGCTACCGTCAACCACTTGGTTACTGACATTCTTTCAAATATCTTCTTTTGTACTCGACAGAAGAAAGAAGATCATACCGGTTTGGATCAACTTGAAGGTGAGCAAAACTTGAAGGTATAGTTTTTGGCTGAACTATCCCTTTAAGTATCTTCCAAGCAACTCAAATCCCTGAACACTTGAATTAAACCGGGACACTAAAAAGTCTTCACATTCATTCTATTATTAAACAGACAAAAAGGTCTCCACTGGTTTATCTCAAAGAAATTGGCCATTCCATCTGATGAACTCAGACATAATGACTCAATCATTGGCTAGGGAACAGATGAACTTGTTTGCTTCCTGCTTGACTAACTGTTTGTCTAACACCTCTGAGCCGCTCGCCGGCCGCTCAAACCCACAGCACAAGCCGAGCTTAGCTGTTAGATAACATACCTCAAGACAGGGCAGAGCCGCCACACTGGGTCCGGTCCCTGGATTAGAACCCACAACCTTCCACTCACCAGCAGCCCAATGAGAGAGCGGGACAGAGGGAGGGAGAGTCAGAGAGACACTCGGGGAGAGCGCCAGGGAACGGGGGAGCGGAGGGGTGCTGACTCTCTTCTGGGACTGTGAAGAGGAGAGGCCGGTGGAGGGAGACAGGGGCAGAGGTGCAAACGGGAGCAAGAGGGAGAGGGAGAGGGAGAGCGAGAGGGAGGGAGACAGGGATCCGGGAGGAGTCGGTGGGGTACTCACAGATTGTCGGAAGGGTTGTGGGGGGGCAGTGGGTGGGATCTCCATGCTTGGCTGCTTCCCGGTGGCGATGCTCTTCCGCCGGAGCCGAGCGTTGTCTGCAAGAGAGAGCCAGAGCAATGAATCACAACCAACGGCAGATAATGTAACAAAAGGCTGGAAAACAATGACGTTTGCACAGATTTGCAGTCTAGACGAGTCTAGAAAGTCTGAGTTAGTCTGCAGATTTTGGGTAGTCAGAGATTTTTCATAATGTATGATGAGGATAGACTCTGACTCTTAAGTCCATCCAGTCAGAGGATATAACTCATGTTTACATTTGAGCTGATTTTAGAAATGTATTTATAGATTTCAAAAGTCACATAGGGCCAGTTTTACTAAACAGGGCAAATTAGCACGAGAGTACAATTCCAAAACGGCGCCGTTGGGAGTGGAAATTTCTGCGGGTGATTTACTGACAAAGCACAAATGAAAGAACAGAGACGCAACATCTAATTTCCATAAGGACCAACGCAATCTACCAAGCGCAGCGCAAAGTAGCATGAGGATATGATGCAGAATCAGATAATGTGTTCTTCTGGCATTCCAAATAAATTAATACGTGTGGAAAAAATCCTCTCCTTTCTACCACACGCTCTCTGTTCTCTGCGCTGCCTCCTTCTGGCAACAACAAATGCAGCCATTTCAAGCGCAAAATAGTTTAAGACATGCTTTTTTGGGTCTTTAAAGGGGCCATATGATGCGATTTCAATTTTTCCTTTCTCTTTGGAGTGTTACAAGCTCTTGGTGCATAAACTACTTTGCGAAAGCGAAACTACTTTGTTTAGCCTTCCAAAAGAGGACGATATCTGCTTCATCATGCCTGGAGCTGATCCGTGCTGGTCGCTGAGGAAATACTACAACTTTGCGCTGTGGATCGCCGGATCGGCTTTCACCGTGGACGAAGAGGAGTCCAGCCTGGAGTCGTCATATGTCCTTCCGGACGCTCCTTCGTCGAAATCGCCGGCCACGCCATTCTCAAACCCACCCGCCTCTGCTCACGCTAACCCTCCGGGCGTTCCTCACGCTAGCCCCCGGCCTCTGCTCACTGTAGGCTGCCGCCGCTCAATCTAGTGTGTGACGCTGTTTCATTGTGAAAGCGAAACTACTTGTTTTGGTCTGGTCACAAATGGAGACATGGTTTTATGTTTACGCGGCGCGATGCAACGCAATGCTTAAAAAGACAGTATAAGTCATTATAATCCATAAATATGTCCCTACTGGATGCAACGAATGCCTCGTTTATACTGGGTTTTCATGTTTTTGAATCATCGCTCCGGCCGGACAGGGCATACTCACAATATGGTAAGGGGCGTAACATTTCCGTCACACGCTTGAGGTATTCGGCCAATCACAACGCACTGGATAGCTGGCCAATCACAGCACACCTTGCTTTTCAGACCGATGAGCTTTGTAAAAATCGACGCGTTTCAGAAAGGCGGGGCATAGAGGAGAAACAATAATGAACAGTATGTGGAAAATTATGTGTTTTTTGAACCTTAAACCGCATAAACACATTTCATTACACCAAATACACAAAATAATGTTCTTTTTAGCAGCATCATATGACCCCTTTAAATAATGCCGCAAATACCAATAATTCGACGAGCGCAAACATGAGTATACCACATTGCATTATTAATTTTAATAGCCTACTCTCCTCCCATAAATTTTGCGTCTGAAAGGGAAACTCCTACAAATGCATATTCAATAAGGTCAGGCGCAAAAATAACTGTCCACGCCTTTTCAGCACTAATTCTTCACAATTCTTCACTGCACGTCTTTAGTAAATGACCTGACAGTACTATTTTAACGCCAAAAGAGGGTTTGCGCTGGGGCAAGCTGTTAGCAAATCTGGCCCATAGTATCATATAGTTTATAGTTTATAGTTTTTGTTAATTGAAATCAAATCAAATCAAATTTGACAAAAAAAACTTTACCTTAAAAACATAAATGAAAAAAGAAATGTTGCCTTGGCAAAAAATTGAAATAACAAAAGTTAAAAAAAGTTCTTGAAAGTACAAAAATTACTAAAACTAAACCTAAATTAAAATATAAAAAAATTATAAAAACTGTAATAGCATATAAATAATACTAAATATCACATAAATAATAATAATAATTAATAATAATAATAAATATCAGTGTAAGCTTATTAAAGGAATAAATCACCCAACAGTGAAAATCAATAATTAAATTTAATTTAATTTCAGTGAATTTGCATCCCCCCCACTTTTAATATCTAAAAGAAATAGAATTTTTGACAAACATGTTCAAAAACATTGTTCATTCACAACATAAAGAGATTAAGTTATTTTATTCTACACAATGATGGCCATCATGTTAACATGATTATCCAAGCACTATTTGCTTTATACATTCAGATGTGGATTAAATAAATCATGGGTGATAAATATACCTGTTAATGGGGTTCATACCCTCATACAGTATCACAGCAAAACTGCCAAATTTGAGTAAAAGTTGCTTGAGTTACTTGTCAGTTACGAGCCATTTTGTAACCAAATACAACTTAGATCACAAATTAGGAATGACGGACTGACATTCACTGATGTAATCAATGATATCTGTCATGAATCATTTGAACAACTTTTTAGTGGAAAATTTATCATAAGAAGACTTTATATTTTGTCATATGTTTGTTGCATTAAGCCACAAAAACAACAATATGAGCAAAAAATCAATGTGGCTTTTCTTTACGTTTTTGTGCCAGGTTGCATTTCAGCGAGAGACGGAGTCTGGCTCATCTCGTATATGATGCTGCGAGTGACACTATGGCTCTGTCCCAAACCAAGTGGACTGCCAATGTAGGCAGCTTTCCCAACGCAATGGCTGCTCCAAAAGGTAAGATACCTTCTTTTGGCTGTTGTGGTGAAGGCAATCCCATAATGCATTTCAACATGCATCAATCCATCTAAAATGGCCAATTAAGCAAAAGAAATGTCAGCAACTATAAATATAATTCATTCAATACAAAAATCATTAATAATATTATGCAATGGACTACTTATTGTTTATTTATGTGTGCTGTGTACAGCAATTATTATTATTTTTTTTACTATTCCACATCAATCACTTACAGTATGAGTATGAATTCAAGTTGGTTGTGGAACAGAGACAATGTTTAATGTTCAAAATAGCTAAATAATGTATTTTTTTATAAAATAAAATAAATAAAAATAGTATTTTTGAATAGTATATATATATGAATAGAACATATATATAGGCTATCTACACACACACATGCACACACATATGTGACCCTGGACCACAAAAGCAGTCTTAAGTCGCTGGGGTATATTTGTAGCAATAGCCAAAAATACAATGTATGGGTCAAAATTATTTATTTGCTAATATTTCCACATAGTGAGGTAGATATGTGGGGGCGTGTTTAGATAAAAATTTAGATTTTTCAATCGCGGAGGCTGCGATTACACAGTCACGTGACACGCGAGAGTAAAGAGGTGTGTTCGACTTGAAGATCAGATCGGTGTATGACATCAAAGTACGACGAGCGAGAGAAAGCACAAGGAGACACCCGCGCTCTCTTATAGCTCTCTCAGTACTTTGATGACACACACCCATCGGTCTAAGCAGCGCTGCTTCAAGTCGAGCGCAGGCCATCAGCAGAAAAAGAAAATAAATAAGTGAATAGCCAAAGGACGTAACTTAGAATGGGAGATGGATCGGTTTGTGAACGCGAAGAGAAAAGCCATAGATGAAGTCACACAGACCCAGGCAGGTGCTGGTCATTCAAAAGCTAAATGCAGAAAATATGATGAGGCATAACTTGCTCTCGGCTTCACTCACCGTGTCTATACCGGACGCTACAGTTGTCGCGTTGCGCCGTAACAGCTCTACACTGGACGCGACAAAGCGACCGTTGCAAATCATTTTAACTTTGTGTCAGTATGTCATAAATAGAACAAGGCATCAGTTTAATTTTGGGTTTTGTCGCGTCGCATCCAGTGTACACAGCATCACTGATTATAATGGGTTCTACTGTATTTTGCCGCTCGCGTCCGGTGTAGACACGGTGTGTTGGTGAGGAGGAAAGCCTGTGTGTGTCCTATGCCTTAGCGGACAGCAAGAAACCCACAAAAAATAAATAAATAACAGAGAGAGAATAATAAGTTATTCTCTCTATGCTATTTTTCAATGTTTCAAGTGATGCAGGTGTTTTTTTCCCTGTAGGTTTTTTTTTATTAAAAAAACATTAATTTTTCATAACATTTTATACTGTACAGACCGTATATTCTATTGCCCTACACCAACCCTACCCCTAAACCTACCCCTTACAGGAAACTTTGTGCTATTTCAGATTTTCAATACACTCCATTCTGTGTGATTTATAAACGTTTTGAAAAGTGGGGACATGGGGTAATGTCCTGAAAAGTCACCTTCTTGTAATACCTGTCATACCTTTGTCATTATACAAATGTATGTCCTCATTTGTCACAAAAACGCGTACACACAAACACACACACACATATATATACAGTATATATATATATGTGTGTGTATATGTATATAACATATGTATATATACTGTATATACACACACACACTCATCAAGGCTGCATTTATTTGATTGAAAATACAGTAACAGTGAAATTGTTAAATAATATTACAATTTAAAATAACAGTTTTTGTACTGTACTATATTTTAAAATGTAATTTATTCTTATAATGCAAAGCTGCATTTTCAGCATCATTACAGTCTTCAGAGTCACATGATCTTTCTGAAATCAATCTAATATGCTAATATGCCTTCACTATTTTTTATCAATGTTGAAAACTATTGTGCTGCTGCATAGAAATCTTAGAAATAGAAAATCAGAAACCGTTTGTAACATTATACATATCTTTACTTTCACTTTAATATTACTTTAATATGTCTCCGCTGAATAAAAGTATTAATTTCTTTAAAAAAAATCAAACTTTTAAATGATCTGAATAAATAGAAATATTTTATTCATAAATTAATAAAAAAATATGTACAATACAATTTCATGACCAGTAAGCAATGTTTATGGCTAGT